AGAATCCCACTCACTATAGCGTGCACTAGTAGTGCATAGGGTGAGTTGAGAATGTTCTCCTCAAGATTCACAGTAACACATTGATGTGACCTCTGCTTTGGAGACATGCAGCTGATGCATAAAATTACATGATGTAATCCATTCACTGCTCCCATGAGAGAGAGCATGTCAAAACTATAACTATAAATATTTATGAACTACACAGATGTGTGATAGCATGCACAGTGTCAAAATATGTTGCCAACTTGCCACATTGATTATATTGACAACAATAACAATATAGCATGGCCTTTAGTGCCTCAAAAGTAGATGGTGTGTCACATCACACTATTTTGTGTATTTTAGCACCACTAAAGAAAATTAGCACTTAGAAACCCAAATTATCTATGTTGGGATTGGCCAATAGATATTGCAAGACAGAAAGTTGTGGAAATGCGATGGCAAATGGGAAGATTTCCAGAGAATGATTTGTCAAATAAAGCATCGTATGACTTCACACTCTCAAAAACGTCTGTAAAAACAGGGCCCAATGTGCTGCGTTAATATGAAGGATTTTTCCCTATTGATTTTTCACAGGTGTTTTTGCTGTATTTTGAGTTACTCATTGCACTGTGTTGTGTCTATAGACATACTGTACTATGTTTTGATGCATTTATGGTGTTATTGTCATTTTTTAACCTTTACAGTCTGTTCACTCAGTCTGCTATTGCATGGAGAAGGAACATTTTGCATATGCTGCTAAACAACAGGTCAAAAACAACTGAATGTACGCAAGTAAGTTAAGTTAATTAATTAATTTGTGGGTGCATTGTTTATTTAGGTGGGCACAACACTGATGAATCTATCAATATGAAAACTAAACTGGTATTAGTTTTACTGGTAATTTCCTAATGAAACAAAGTGTTTTGAATTCTATTTTGGACGGCAAAGGAACGTTTTGTAGCATCGCTAAACTGAACTGCATTAGAGGCATTTAGATACTGTGCTGAGGTTATTCTGATGAGATCTCAAGGGTTCAGCATCAGTCAGACATCTCGGATACATCAACACTGCCATCCAGAGGAGATCTGAGAACTCGAGTGGGGACTGAGAGTATTTCACATGCATTGAAACACCAAGGAACCTTGATGACTTTGCATCTGTTTATACATTGAGTTTTAGTGGGTGGGAAATTATTGCATGTTGATTGGTTGACATTTTGAAATGAACTCCCAGTGTGATTTACAGTAAATGATCATGCATTTGGAATATTTATAGGTATGCAAATTTTTCTATGCACGGTGCTGGTAATTTCCTCTGAACCACTGTACAATTTACAAGTCATTGAAATGTTTGTGGTTAAAGACTGCAAACTAGTTGATTGTGTGGCGCTCAGCCCATCAATGTCTGCTTTTTTAGAGAAACTAGGATGAAAGTCTTTCTCAAATTTACTGAACAAAAGTGTGCCTGTCAATCTCAGATAGTGTCTGCAAGATGTCTGTTAAAGATCACTTCATCTGGAAAGTATCTGCTGTGTACAAACGTCTGATAGACGTCTGTAAGATGTCAATTTTACATACATTCTAAATCATAAACATCTTAAAGACATCTTCTAAACGTCTATTTGACATCTTGATTGGAAGCGTCCTATAGACGTATTGCAGATGAGCAAACACTCTAAAAAAATACGTCATGCAGATGTAAATGCAGACGTCAAATAGACGTGATGTACGTGTGTTATCAGGGATCTGTTTCTAATATTTAGATCACCTCTCAAAAGAAGAAAACATCTTTAAAAAAACAAAGATATGTGGAAAAACTGAAAATGTTGGAATTGAATTGAGATCCATATATAGCATCTGTTGCAATATTTCAATCATAAACAGAGTGCGGGTAATTCTAAAAGGCTTAACGTGGGAAAAAAATTTAACGTAGCCTAAAATGACAATGATATTAAAAGATCAACTTCAATATTAAGTTCAGAGTTCAGAATATGAATGTGATGCGTTAAATTGCATATTAACCCAGATAGCACACGTACATCTGCAAGATGTCTGTTAAAGATCTGGAAAGCATCTGCTGTGTACAAACATCTGATAGACGTCTTTAAGATGTCAGTTTTACATAAATCTCTAAATCATAAACATCTTAAAGACATCTTCTAAACGTCTTATTTGACATCTGATAGGAAACGTCCTATAGACGTATTGCAGATGAGCAAACACTCTAAAAAAATACGTCTTGCAGATGTAAATGCAGACGTCATGCTTTCAGGGAAGCGTTTTCTTTATGATGAGTTTCTGTGGGAAAACGGTTAACATGACAGTTTGTGCGGTGTGTTCATATTCTGTACGTATGTGTTTTATTAATAGCCTATACCGAATTTGGTCCACCGATAGCACTGTCTTAATGCATTAAGCCACATTAAGCATTTTCTTTATAATGGTTTTCTATAAGGAACCGCTTACCGTGCACACGTTTCTATTCAGTGTTCATCTGCCTGCTTGTACATAGTATGCTTTATTAATACTTTATTTGGTCTTCTAATATCACTGTCTTAATGCATCCACATTAAGGATTTTCTTTATAATGGTTTTCTGTGGGGGAACGCTTAGCGTTTATAGATATAAAATCTTGAGCAGAAATGGTTTTGGTCCTGCACAGCAGGTGTAAAACCCTTTAAAATTGAGGTAAAACTCTTGAATTTGGAAATTGAGAAGAAATTAATAGTGAATGACAACTTATGTTTATCTAAAGAGTTTTAACTAATAATTCGGGATTAACTCATGTTTGTAGTCAGTCTATTTTCACTGTAGGCCTATTTAAAAGAATGTTACGTTATGTTGTTAAATTTTGAATTCTGCTAAAGTTCTCCTTTAGTGTTTCACAGAAGAATGAAAGTCATGCGGGTTTGGAGCGACATGAAGGTGAGTAAATGATGACAGAATGATCATTTTTGGCTGAACTAACCCTTTAACCACTCATATAGTATGGCTCATCATAAAAGACCATCATAAACCAGTGGAACCAAAATCAAACTCAGGCAGGGGGTGATTCAGTCTTGGATGGACCATAAAGATGCTGTGAAGTGTAATTGCATGGTCAGAACTGAGAATCCCACTCACTATAGCGTGCACTAGTAGTGCATAGGGTGAGTTGAGAATGTTCTCCTCAAGATTCACAGTAACACATTGATGTGACCTCTGCTTTGGAGACATGCAGCTGATGCATAAAATTACATGATGTAATCCATTCACTGCTCCCATGAGAGAGAGCATGTCAAAACTATAACTATAAATATTTATGAACTACACAGATGTGTGATAGCATGCACAGTGTCAAAATATGTTGCCAACTTGCCACATTGATTATATTGACAACAATAACAATATAGCATGGCCTTTAGTGCCTCAAAAGTAGATGGTGTGTCACATCACACTATTTTGTGTATTTTAGCACCACTAAAGAAAATTAGCACTTAGAAACCCAAATTATCTATGTTGGGATTGGCCAATAGATATTGCAAGACAGAAAGTTGTGGAAATGCGATGGCAAATGGGAAGATTTCCAGAGAATGATTTGTCAAATAAAGCATCGTATGACTTCACACTCTCAAAAACGTCTGTAAAAACAGGGCCCAATGTGCTGCGTTAATATGAAGGATTTTTCCCTATTGATTTTTCACAGGTGTTTTTGCTGTATTTTGAGTTACTCATTGCACTGTGTTGTGTCTATAGACATACTGTACTATGTTTTGATGCATTTATGGTGTTATTGTCATTTTTTAACCTTTACAGTCTGTTCACTCAGTCTGCTATTGCATGGAGAAGGAACATTTTGCATATGCTGCTAAACAACAGGTCAAAAACAACTGAATGTACGCAAGTAAGTTAAGTTAATTAATTAATTTGTGGGTGCATTGTTTATTTAGGTGGGCACAACACTGATGAATCTATCAATATGAAAACTAAACTGGTATTAGTTTTACTGGTAATTTCCTAATGAAACAAAGTGTTTTGAATTCTATTTTGGACGGCAAAGGAACGTTTTGTAGCATCGCTAAACTGAACTGCATTAGAGGCATTTAGATACTGTGCTGAGGTTATTCTGATGAGATCTCAAGGGTTCAGCATCAGTCAGACATCTCGGATACATCAACACTGCCATCCAGAGGAGATCTGAGAACTCGAGTGGGGACTGAGAGTATTTCACATGCATTGAAACACCAAGGAACCTTGATGACTTTGCATCTGTTTATACATTGAGTTTTAGTGGGTGGGAAATTATTGCATGTTGATTGGTTGACATTTTGAAATGAACTCCCAGTGTGATTTACAGTAAATGATCATGCATTTGGAATATTTATAGGTATGCAAATTTTTCTATGCACGGTGCTGGTAATTTCCTCTGAACCACTGTACAATTTACAAGTCATTGAAATGTTTGTGGTTAAAGACTGCAAACTAGTTGATTGTGTGGCGCTAAATGTGATTATGAGCGAATAGCCACATTATACCTTGGTTCTTTTAGATATTTCATGGTACTGATTATCATATTCATAAACCATGCAGCACAGGTACGTCTGCAAGATGTCTGGTAAAAATCTGGAAAGCATCTGCTGTGTACAAACATCTTATAGACGTCTCTAAGATGTCAGTTTTACATACACTCTAAATCATGAACATCTTAAAGACATTTTCTAAACGTCTATTTGACATCTGATAGGAAACGTCCTATAGACATATTGCAGATGAGCAAACACTCTAAAAAATACTTCTTAGAGACGTCAAATAGACGTCTCTGTGATGTACGTGTGCTTTCAGGCACACAAACGGTTTTGTCAGACAAAAACGAGGTAATGCTAAGTCATTGCTAATGTTCTCAGAAATCCCTGAACGTTAAGTAGCACAACAGCGCCATCTAATGGTCAAGAGAAATACTGATTTACTATACTGAAATACTGATTACTATAAGAGAAATAGTGAACTAAATTCTGAAATACTAAGAAACACATCACGCCATGACTCTTAGTGTTCTTTATTCATTTGCACCTATTTAATCGATTCCCACAATACATGACAATAAATACGTAAAGGTCCCTGTACATTTCATCTTCATCAGCTGCTCAATGTACTCGGTATTTACAGTCAGACTCGGATCCACTACAAACATGTTTTACACTTCAGGCACCTTGTGTATCCCGTTGAAAGACACACAAATACTTGACGAGTTCAGAAAGGAAAAGGGAAAGTTATTCTCGGGAACGCGTGCGTGTTGCTCCTGACGATGGTTGACCTTATTTGGAGCAGCACTTTAATTGTTCCAAAAATATTGCGGGTCTAGCAACATGTAAAAGTTTTTCTGTAATACTATTCAATACATATACAATGCTTTACAATCCTAAAATAATAAATATGGCCGTCGCTATTGCGTTTTTAAACCGCCGTTACAAGCTGTGCACGAATATATTCAAAACCAAAACGCGCGGGAACTACGGCTGAGCCGTTACACGCTTTGGAATGTCACGTTCCGCAGTCGCATCATAAATACACACACAAGCTTAAAGTTTCACATCGCTGCTTTATAAATATGGCTGAAATGATGCAAACACATGGAAAAAGGGTCAAGGGTGGAGAATAAATGATGGGAAGCAAATATTCAGATTCTGTTCAGGATCTCTGTTTGATTCACAGGTCACCAGAACCGTTCTGAATGGAATATCTGCCATATTTGTATGGAATACTGGAAGTGGAGGAAATGATAAGCATGTGGAACAGGAAATGAGCACAGGTCAGTCAAACAATGACCTCAAACTCTAATGAGACGCTCCACAAACAGTGTTCTTCACACAAAACAGACAGAGGCCTCTGGGAAACATAAAGCATTGTTCTGGAAATTCACACCAGTGTTCATGCAAAAAAATAAATCATCAGCTTGGAAAACGTTAATTGTATGAGAAAATATGGAATTCATGAACAAAACAATGAAATTCTTCTGTAATTCTAATGAATCTTGGAAAAATCCAAAATCCCATATTGAAAATGGAATGTGGCTAAAAAACAAGACGCAGATAAAAATATAGTCCGGTCGAATCTCACCTCATTTCACAAAATCATCGAAACCTCCAAAAATGAGGTAGCTGGTATGTAGATGTTGGCTGATTTTTAATAAATACTAATTATCCTTAAGGAAATATATAAATATTGTTGAGTTAAAATAGCTTCACAAATGCACATTGCCAATTTTTTTCTTGAAAGTAAAAATGAAGGTAAAATTTCACTTGTACAAATGTAATATTTTAAGCAATACTGTGATTTTTAACCCATGTTTCTCAACATGAAATGGCATTCGCAACCCATTTTTGTTTTAAATTTAATGCCATTTTTGATCACTGCTGCATAGAACCTTTACACACACACACACACACAATTCAAGAACTTCACAATCAAGCCATGTCCGAAACAACTAACTGGCCTAAAAGAACTACGTTTGCATCAGTAACTACACCAAACCGCTGGTGCTCTAGTGTTTCGGGTTTGGTTAACATCGCCACAAATACTGTTCATGCAACTGGATGCATCTCTAATCTATTAAAACCTTGCCATACGCCACAGGATATGTGACTTTAAGGCTTGCGTAAGGAAACTTAGCTCAATCGCTGCAGTATAAAAATACTGTCGGGGTATTAATCTCAAATTCCGTTTGGGTGAATCTCATGAAATCGGTTTAAAATCACAAGAAATTAGTTTTTTCTTAATGCAAATAAAGCCTGTTTTTAGGAGGGAGAAAATGTGCTTGAAAATAATGTCAAGAAAAGTCTAAAAATAGGCTTTTTTTTCTTCTTCAGGTCGTAATGACCTAAATCATGATTTCATGAAATTCACCCAGTTTTTCTTCAATCTCACGACTTTCAAGCCACCACAAGCTCCGCATACAGTACAATAAACTTTACTGCACTTTGCCCAAATATCTATATACATGAAGAGCTTTGCAATCAAACCGAACGCATACGATCCCACTGATCGAGCCCTTAGTGTGTTGATTCATTTGAACACTGAATGTTAAACGCTGTAAAAACGCTTAATAAAAAAGCCTCTGAGTTTAAAACCAATAACCGTTTCGTCATAATCAACAAAAAAACACACTAAATAAATTCCGCATGCTCTCAAACATTAGTCGCCGGGCAGATGGAGGGTTTGCGATGTGTTGACGCCCTTTTCATTTTTTCCAAACGTGATTTTGTTTCAGAGTCAGACGTTGCTGTCCTCCAGCAGCGGTTCGAAGTCCTCGTCGCTCCCCGGCAGTGGCGTGTTGGTGTGAGCGCCGGCTAGACTCGCGCTGCTCTTAAGGGTTTGGCAGGGCGTCGCTGGGGGTGTCGGGTGGTCCGGGATGAAGAGAGCGACTATAAACGCCACCACCACTGTACAGGCGCCCAGGAGGAACGGAGGACCGGGGATTATGGTCTTCTACACAAAAAAACAAGCGAAAGGTAAGTGGCATTAGAGGAAGTCATCACGGATTTATGACACTGTTGAAGCTATGAGTGAGTATTCACTTCGATATAGAAACAAAGCTGTGCGATATAGATAATATATATATTAAATATTAGGGCTGGGTTTTGACAAAAAGTTCACGATTCGATTCTCATTCACAAGCTTGCGATTCGATTCAGTATTGATTATTTTGGATATATATCAGGTACACATGCCAAATTTTCAAGGAAAAAATCTCTCAACCAGTGTGGATTTAAGAATCGATATCGTTCCGTAAAAATGAGAATCGATTAATATCAAGATACCTATATTTTTTACCTAGCCCTATTAAATATATCAAGTAGTGAAAGTGACATGTGGCCAAGTATTATATTATGTATTATATATACTATTATATAATAATATATACTGTATTTTACACAATTTGTCACATTTTTGACGAACCAAGTTTATTTGTATAGTGCATTTCCCACATGCTGTTAGATTGTTTAAATAAATACATTTAGGCTTGGTGTTTATAAGAAATGTTGTTAATAATCAATGCCACTATAGGCTAAATAATGTTTGTTTTTTTTACTTAGGCCTATATTTTTAATTCCTGTTCTGAATAACATACAATTTAAAGGATTTGCTGTCGAGTGAAGGAAACTAAAATACATGTTTATAGTGTTTGTAAATGTTTCGTTCTGTTTACCAGTATTTTATATTACTTATGATTGTAATAAAATTTTACTTATACGCAGATGCGAAATTATATATTATTTTTATAATTATAATTCCTAAACATTAAAAATAAACACTGAAAATGCCATGCAGGGAGCACTTTTGAATGATGATGCAAATTAATGAAAAGAAGTAAAATAATAATGCAAAATAATGTAGCAGATGTGTTATATATTTTTATTACATATAATATATACAGTATATCATTTTGACATTGCATCATACAGCAAAAGCTTTGTACGAAATAGATCATATATAGCATAATATATAGCAATATCATTTTTATTTTATATTATTTTTATATCTTTAATTTTGGTTATATTTTGCTCTTAAATTGATTTATATACAAAAACATTTATATTTATATGATCATTTTTATAATTATTATTATTGATTTGCTTTTATATATTTTATTTATTTATTTATTTATATTTAAAAGTTAATGTTTTATGTCATTGCAGCCAAATAGATTAAATAATTACATTAATAAATAAACATTATAAGCATTAAAAATGCCATGCATGGAGTGCCTTTGAGTGATGATGCAAATGAATCACTGAATCCATGTTTTGAACTGATTCACTGAAGCAATTTCAAATTCTTCCTGTATAACAGACAGACTGACACGTACCTCTGTGGAGGTCTGTAGTGGGATGGCGTAGTCGGGCTGGATGGTGGTGATCCCGCTCAACTCCACATTAAAGAGGAAGAAAATGAAGCCGTACAGTGCCGGACCCAGACCATTACAGAGCCCCCGAATCCCTGTTATCATGCCCTGAACCAGACCTGAGGTAATACAACACACACGGATGGAAAAACAGCTCATATGCACAACATAAACTCCTAATGCCTTAGTACAGTGGTCGCCAACCCGTTGATCGCAGTGATAGTCTGAGACTGTAAACGGCTGTAAACAGAGGCCAGAGTCGCTGAAGACGGACGCAAAGAGGAGAAAATACTGTAGCAGGCAGAGCAAACTCACTGTTCACAATGCTCGAAATATAGGAAGAATATATCAATATTGAATTGGGGGTAAATGTATCACTGAAGGAAACTTCAGAAAAGTTTCGATGGCAATGGTATTTTCTTTTTCTCTTACCTCCATATTAAGTAATAATAATAGCAATAATAATTCATTACATTTATATAGCGCTTTTCTAAGCACTCAAAGCACTTTACATTGTGAGGGGGATCACCTCATCCATCACCAGTAGTATTTATAAGCGCAGCGCTGCTTTGTTTACAGCGGTACCTGCTGTCAGCCCGTCTGCTGGTTTTGTTTCATGCAGATGTTTTATGCTGCATAATTTCACAAAGATAAAGTCAGACTGTCCTGTTTTTGCTTTAAATCTTGAAATTATAAAATTCCATTTAAATAAAAAAATAACTGCTCGTGCTACATGGGTGTATCATTTGTTGTTTGGATTGTGATTGGCTACAGATATTTTTGTTTGAGACTAGTTTGCTTGTTATAGAGCAAATAAACAATAAATAAATAAATCTGCGACCACTTTTGGAATCGGCCATAAAAAAAAAAAATTATCCAAATTGACCATGAAAAATCGTCACTAAATAAAAGGCCTCAGATTGGTATTACAATCTGGGCTGTCTTTTTCTATCAGTTCTTCAATAGGTAGGTCTTGTCTTTCATAAAAGCCGAGGTCAAGGATCTTGGAAGGTCAAGGAAGGTTGGTGACCACTGCGTTAGTAGAAACCAACATGAAATGAAACCGTGGACTTTCTGAATGCACGCTCCTGCTCTCTAAGTGCACAGTTCATTACTTGTTTTAAAGACAAATGTTGTTTTTCTTCAGTCCTTAAAGTTTTGAAAAGGTAAAATCTCAAAAGTTAGCATATAAGAGTTTACCCTGTTTATCTGGATCCGCACTGCGTGACACTAAAGCGCTCACTGCAGGGAAGGTTATGCTGGACATGGCCGCCACCGCGCCGGCCGCCCACATCATCCTAAACAACAACACAAATAATATCAGCATAAACGACAATCGCTTCTGGACATCAAACTGAAGTGACTTGCTCTTCTTAAACCAGACGATTGTTATGTTTTATTCGCATAAGCAGGTCATTTCTCTTGATCTAGATGTTAACTCACCACGGCTCGGACCCCAAACCGTACCAGGCCAGCTGAAGAATCTGGAAACCCAGACCCAGAAGAACCGTGTTCTTGTTCCCGATGGTCCTCATCAATAAAGTCAGAAAAAGCGTCTGTCGGGAACAGGAGAGAATGAATCTTTACATTGCCCTGCATCATATTTGCTGAACGAATACTCGTTTTGGACTAACTTTGGGTGCTGATTCTGAAAATAGTGCGTTTTGCTTGAGTTCATCACACTTTATCACAAAATATGATGCATTTTGTAGCATTTTTGTTTCCAACGACCAATTGCAATTGCAGAAAATCTTAAATTCATAGTCATGGCATTAAATGTTGCATGCACTGCAAAAAAATTAACATCTTCCTCAGTATTGAAAAAGAAAACAAAGAACAAATATCTGTCAATGGGGAATGAAAACTTATTTTCCCTTTGAATTAAGTCGATTTTTGTTCGTTTTAATCATAAAAATCACTTTAAAACAAGACAAATATACTGAGGAAGAACATCACTTTTTTGCAGTGATCAGAATGTAGAATAAAAGATATTTCCATCACAGTTTTTTTTTTGTAAAATGAATCAAGAAGTCTGTAGGAAGTTGTGTTTTCAAACTTGCTAATACAACTCATTGTGCTTCCTAGACATTTGCATTTAAAGATCATATTGACAAATTATGTTCCCTTTAATTTATTCATTAAAATTGTGTCTTAAAAAGGTCTTAAATGTATCTTCATAAAGCTTGCTGTGCAATTCTCAGCCCATTTTCACATTTATGACATTAATTCATGCCTATTCCTGATTTTAAGGTTAGATTTATAGCGAGTGACTAGAAAATGCAAACATGAGCAGATGTTTTGGGTGTTTTACTACATCCAAACAGTGACTGACAATTACAGATTTCATGGGGAAAAAAGCTTATTTATTCATAAACATGTTTTTATGTAAAGCTCTGAGACATTAAACAGACTATTTGAATATATTTTTCCACTCTTTTGCAGATTGTAAGTTAAATTATACATTTTAAATACTTGTTTTTATCATTAAAACCAAAGCGTTTAACATTCAACAGCTTTTGTTATTTTGATGAGTGCATTAAATCTGATACATATCATTCGAAAAAAATCTTAATTCTTATTTTGTGAAAAAATATATGTGAAATATATGTTAAAAAATAAGATTTATTATTTTATATTTGAATTTATTATGTGATATTTATTTTTTATATTTATAAAAAAATTATTTATATATATATTTTTTTTTCCAATTTATTATATGATGTATATTATTGAACTCAGCATCATCATATTAGCTAAAATTAGGCCTTTTTTGCAAATCAGCAGACAATTTTTCCTACATGCAGGGCTGTGTTATTGTTATTATAATGAAACGTCATTGTTTTCATTGCTGTGTCATATTGAATCGGAGCAAAGCTGCTAGAATTCACCTTGCTTACTGCAGGGCTAAAAATAAAACCCCTCAACTTAAATAAACCAGCTAACACCATGCTATCTGCTCATTACAGCCCTGCCTATATTTCATTACATTTACAGTTGAACTTTTAAAGGAATTCAATTCAATTAGAAAGCGTTTGCGAGAGCCACTTTCATGAGACGGCTCGCCGGCTCAACGACACGAGTAATAAGGCAGAGCCAAGAATATTGCCTCAATTAAATACCTGTGCCAGGATGGAGAGGATTCCCACCACGCCGATGAACACCGCGATCGTTTTGGGCGAGAAGTTAATGACCTGAGAGACACAGAGAAAGAGCCGCGTCACTATCAGTCTGCACCAGCGCGCCCCGATCCAGTGAACTCTGCTATGTCCAGTAATGAGCCGTCACTCAACTCAACTCAGCGCTCAGACAGGATGCCACTAACAATCCAGCTGAACCATCCTGAGAACCCGACGACTGTGTGAAATAGAATTCTGTAGAACGCAACAATGTTTCAAACTGCAGTTTGCTACATTCTTGTCACATGACCTTGTTACATTGCATGTTTAATTAAACATGTGAAGTCCAGTATAAATCTCAATTTAAAAAAATGGACCCTTATGACTGGTTTTGTGGTCCAGGGTCACAAATAATTATAAAACTAAATAAATAAATATATTATGGGAAAAAAATTGGGCGCATTAACTTAATTCATTTCAAATAAATGCTGTTCTTTGGAAGTTTGGAAGTAGCATGGTAGTGTCTTTGTTTACTAATCCTACTTGTTTAGTTAATTAGAAGCATATTGCTGCTAAAACCCTTCCAGTCATCAGTGCAGCTCTATCCGAGCTAATGAATCATGGGACTGTTCGACAGTAGCAGACAGTGAAAACATGCAGCATAAACCGCTGATTAAAGTTCAATGGAAGCTGACAGCTGCTTTAATCGGGAACATTAAATATAGAATCTTTACTTTTGTTCATTAAAAACCAAGAAATAAACACCTTACCTGTCGCAGGTAGAGGAAAAAGCTGGAGTACTGACCCGCCTCGGGCAGATAGGACAGAAACACTGTGATACAGATGAGCAGAACGGTCGTGTCCTGCCCAACTTTCCGCATAGACTGTGAAGAAACACAAGAAGCATCAATAAAACGCTTAGTAAATGATAAAAGGAGTTTTGGATATCAGTATATTTTAATCATCAGTACTAGTCTGATTAGGCCAATATTGTAAGCAATATTGTATAAAGTGAGATTTATAAATACAGAACATTACAGATGAACATTACATTATAAATACATATTTATGAACAAACCAGTTATATTTACTAGAGCCCGACCGATATGGGTTTTTTGGGGCCGATACCTTCAGAATTCTTTGATGAATAGAAAGATCCAAAGATCAGCATTTATCTGAAATAAAAAGCTTTTGTAACATTATACACTATACCATTCAAAAGCTTGGAGTCAGTATAATTTTTTATTTTTAGTTATTTTTTTGGAAAGAAATTATAGAAATTACTACTTTTATTTAGTAAGGACGCTTTAAATTGATCAAAAGTGATAATAAAGACATTTAATGATTTCTGAAGATCATGTGACACTGAAGACTGGAGTAATGATGCTGAAAATACAGCTTTGCATCACAGGAATTCATTATATTTTAAAATATATTAAAATAGAAAACAGTTATTTTAAATAGTAAAAATATTTCACAATCTAACTGCTTTTGCTGTATTTTGGATCAAATAATTTTAAAATCCTTTAAAAAAAACATTAAAAATCTTACTTTGCAAAAACTTTTGACTGATAGTGTGCATATCATAATTAGTGGTCGACCGATATATCGGCCGATATTTGGCATTTTTCAAATATTGGCATCGGCCGATAAGTTTTTCTGCTTGCCCGATGCGTTTGAGGCGGGACTTTTATTTTGACGGCGCTGAGATTGCAGCGTCTGAGCACACAGTGCTCACATTCCTCCCTCTTGTTCGCTGTCGTCATCAACAGTTCTGTCTAATACGGATAGAAGTCTGTCTAATAATCCGATAGAACTGTTAAACAAAGGAATTAAAATGTATACATTACAGTATTATAACGATTGCTTTTATATTATTAGTAATAGAAAGGCAAACATTATAATACTTTCTCGTTTGCCGTCAGCGTTCAGCAAATACGCATTTATATCATTTAACCAAATATTTGAATGACTAATGAACATTTAATTTTACAAACCTTGCAAACTTAGTCGAATCCAGCTGTGAGATCTTGTGAAGTGTGCATGTGACCTGCATGATCGCGTGTTCTCTGCGTGACTTTCGGTCCGTGCAAATTGAATGCTTTAAACATAAAATTTGTGATTTCAAATTATGCTGCACTTCATGCATTTCCCCACTGTCATATTCATGTCATTTTCTCTTTGTGCTGTGTGTAAAATGAGTGTTACCTTAGCTTTATTTTAAAAATATGATTCCCAATGCACACAAACTTCCTAGAATACTGAGTGCTCTGTTGGTTACAGTGTTTACTTCCTTTTTAATTATATTTATTTATTTGTAAAAAATACTATGTCATCTAAAGTATAAGTATGTTTATTCTACAAATTAATTTTTTTATCCATTTTCAAATGATTTTAAATTTCTTAAATATTAATTAAAATAAATACAATTATATCGGCCACCCTGCTTTCCAATATATCGGCATCGGCTGTCAAAAAACCAATATCGGTCAACCACTAATCATAATAATAAAAAATAAATTGTAAAATCCTCCTTTAAATCCTTACAGCGAATGGGTCGGCCTGCTCCCAGGAGATTGGCGCTCCCCATGTGTTGAGCCTCATCTTGTCGGGCAGTGACTCTGGGACAGCCAGCAGAATGAAGCAGATGTCGGCCAGAGCGATGAGAGTCGCCAGCAGCACCACCAGATTATCTCCGTAGCTGGCTGACAGGTACGCTCCGATGGCCGGGCTGGTGACCAGACTCGCTGCGAACGTCGCAGAAACCTGGAAGCAGATAGAAATACAACTCTTCTATCCAGCTGGGTCAAGGACACTGAATGCAGGTCATGCAGAAGAACCTTGGAAACAGAAATATCCTAAAACAGCCTCTCTGAGATTCTGAGATCAGTCCAAAATGCATTTTATATTTAATAAGAGAGCCGCTTACGAGTCCATACGCCGTACTCCTCTCACGCACATCCGTAACGTCTGCGATGTACGCGAAGATTACAGAGAAAGTGACGGAAAAAGCGCCAGACACCGATATCATGGCGAAGTACCACCTAAAAACAAGTGAAACATGAGAAAACATGTTGATTTAAGAACAGAGCTCCCTAAACATTTTACACTGAGTTTATATACATTTTTCAGTTGATTTGTGATTATTGGATAAAACATTTCAACCACATCACTGCTGGTCGGACAATCAAAGTTGAGTATAACTAAAAAATATCATATTAAATATTTAAATTACTAACATCATATATTTATTAAATTACACCCATACATACACACACATGTGTTATTTCTGTAATTTTATAAGTATTAATAAAGAAAATATTACAAAATAAACTTTATAAAAGAAATTAAGCATTAAGTAATAAATTGTTACAAATAGTATATTAATTATTATTCAATCACAATTAACATTATAATATATTTGTATAACATTTTTTAAATACAAAGAAAAAAATAACAAATATTAAAATATTATATAATCATAATTATTAAGATTAAGCAATGTAAATAATTATGTTCCATAAAATATATTATTATAATTTTTTTTTTTTTTTTTTTAAGAATAAATTGTAAACATACATAATTAACATTACATAATTATTAACTATATATATATATAAATTCCCCCCATGTCAGTTATGGTCTCACCATGGACTGAGTCTCATGAGCGGGATGGGCGCACACGTGAAGAACACGGTAACCAATAGAAACGATCGTCTGCCCCACACGTCTGACAGAGCGCCAATTAACGGAGCGCTCATAAACGACAGCAGACCCTGACGAACCAAAGCAGAAACATCACTGTGACAATAAAACCAACACAGACGAACTAACCAGTCCACTGCATTCACATCACATCACGTACCTTCACTCCCTGAATCAGGCCGTTTATTAAGAACGTGTGTTTGGGGAACGTTTCATGCAAAACCTACAAATGAAAAATGCACATTTCAATAGACAGAACAAATACAATACAATTTATATCTCATAATGAAAGGTGCACTCAAAGTTATTTCATGTGTATTTTTCCCTGGTTTTATTTGCCTTCCCAAACAACCAGAGACTAGAGATGACGTTAACCAGTGTTATTGTAGTATTATTCATAAACTACTATATTATTTATTTATTTATTAATATTTTGAATTTGCTTTGATTTTTACATTTTCAATTTAAATTTTACATTTTGTTGTGCTTTTGTCATTTTTATTAGTTTTTTATATTTCCATTTAGCTTTCATTTATTTTTAGATCTTATTTTTTATTTCTCATTTCTTTTATTTTTATTATTTAATTTTTGTTTCAGTCATTCAATTTCAAATTATTTCAGTTAACTGCCAAAGCAACATTTCAAATTTTTCTCATTTCAAGATTTCAAATTTTTGAACATTTTTGAAGTACGTTTTAGTTTTTAAATTTTTCATCTAATATTTACATTTTATTTTTATTTTTTTTAATTTCAGCTTTATTTAGTAATTTCAATTACTGAAAATTATTTTTAATTGTTTCATTTTTAATAATAACACTGATAACCAATTTTGTCATTTTTATTAATTTAAAAAAAAATCTTTCTATTTAGCATTAATTTACTTTTTATTTTAGTTTAAGTTTTTTATCTAATATTTATATTTTGTATTCAAGCTTTATTTCAATTGCTGAAAATGGTTTGTAATAGTTTTAGTTAATATAACACAGATAACCGCTAGTGATGTGCTTTTGTCATTTTAATATACTTTTTTTTTTTTTTTTTTCTGTTTAGCTTTAATTTACTTTTTATTTTAGTTTTAGTTTTTAGTAACTTTTGGGTTTTTTGTTATAAAAAAAATAAAATAAAATAAGCAAGCCCAGCCCAGATGACAAAAAGTAACGCAAAAGTAACATAATGCCTTAATTTGCGTAAAAAGTAACTAAGTAATGCAATTAGTTACTTTTTCATGGAGTAAAGCAATATTGTAACGCATTACTTTTAAAAGTAACTTTCCCCAACACTGGAGACCACACTGTTTGAAAACCCCAGTTCTTTAAAAAAAACATTTATTTAATTGTATTATTTAATTATATATATATATATTTTTTTTTTTGAAGGTTTGATTCTTTGTGAGATGTTCCAGAAAAAAGACGGTGGTCTTTAACCTTATACTGACATCATCTGGTGTGAATTTTGGCGAAAAACAACTAATAGCACCTGTAATAGAAGCTTTTATCCTGATAAACCTGAACTACAAACATGAATGAGAATTAAAGCAGCTCACCATGAGCATCGGTGTGGTCAGGAGACCCCAGGCGAAAAACTCCAGAAAGATGACCACAACAGCATGATAGACGCTCGGCTTCCCGATGCCCTGCCGGACCTGGAACATCACACACATACACAGCTCTTTATTAATAATGCTAATTATAATCGGGAATGTGGCACATTTCCAGACTCCTCCGCTTTCAATGGGACTCGTCTCATTGCTATTCCTCCGGGACGTTTAGACACACAAAAGACGAAAGAAATCCAGCCGTGCCAAACTCTCAATCCACTGCTGACAGACGTTCACAGATGAAAGAATTCACTGTGATGCTTAATATGCATGCATAAGTATGTTAATAATGGCATTTCATCCCTTTTATACATAAAGCAGGAAACAGAGACATTAATATTTTATATTTTACTATAAATGCATGCATATATGTGTATTTAAAATAGTTAAATAGTTATAGTTATTATACATAAATAACTTTGTGCATATGCACGTATATTTTAATATACATTTTTATATATAAAACAGACGCACATATATAATACATATTTATAAACATGAAAAAAAATTATATAAAATTATAAACAATTATATTTTTTTTTCATAAAATATTTTATATAAAATACAGTACATACACAATATATAGCTGAGCAAAACATCAAATTAGTACATTAATATTTGTCTTATTAATAAATATACTAAATTGGAAGAATTTACTCAACAGGATGCGCAAATGAATAAATGAACGAAGATTTCGGCGTCCCCATGACAACAGACCTCGCGCGCGTGCGTCAGTTACGTAACAACCGACAGCGGCGCTTCAATCGGCCAATGTAGCCGTTAGCATTAGCATCGCCTCATCGATCGATATCGCACACGACACGTCTCGATACATTGTTATAAAGAGCCTAAAGATTATTATGCTATGCATAACATGATAAAACAACAATTCAGTCGGTGTTAAAAAATCCAAAATGTTATGATTTGTCAGGTAGCCGATGAGCGTTCGTGCGCACGTATGTAACGTTACAATTAATAAGACATTCATATTTATACAAGCGTATTATAAATCAATAAGCCATGTAAATACACATTTTATCATTTTAAATGCTTAAATGTTTTACGGAATGTGTTACCGTAGCTGATATCAACAAAAACAGGCGCTCCAATTAATGAATGAGTCACAGTGACACGTTATATCTGTGTTATTCTTACCGGATTGTCATGCTTCATTATGATCTTCTTGACCAGCACAACTTGGCCGGTGTGTTTCGGGTCTTTCTCCCCCTGGGCCATCATCATCTTCATCATCATTTCATCACATCTCACGTGAGCGACGTAACATGCGTCCTGCTGCGTGCATATCTGCGCTTTACCGCCGAGATCAGCCGTGCAACCGGCCAAAAATGAGCTCCGATCGGTTGTTTAAGTCACATCCAGTAATAAACAGACCGTACCGATGAAATGGTGCCGCTCTGTCTTCCCCCGTTACGTGATTGCAGCGTGCAGAACAACGACGCCGCGCGGCGAGCAGCTGTTCCTGAACCAGCTTCGCATGATGCGGATGATGCTGGTCTCAGCTGATCTGGACTCAGGATGATGGTCTGGTTTCTCACTGGGCGAGTGACAGGTGCGTCACGCTCTTTTTACCTTATCAGATGATGTTTTCCCTTTTCAGAGGATGTTACTAAGGCGCGGACCAATTGTGGAATTGTGGAAAAGTGGAGGATGACACTTCAGTATTATTACAGGTTGCTACAAATAACTTTTATTAATTAATTATGTTATTTCACATATACAGTACTAGTCAAAAGTTACGATTTTTTAAGAAATTTAACCAAAGCTGCATTTATTAAACACAGTATAAACAGTAATATTGTGAAATAATATTACAATCCTATGTGTTCTCTATTTTAATATATTTTCAAATGTAATTTATTCCTGTAAGGGCAAAGCTGAATTTCCAGTAGGGCTGTGCGATATTGAAGAAAAATGCGATATGCGATAACTCATTAAATAATGCGATATTCGATATGCGATACGAGAATGCTTAAAGTGCCACATGCTCAGATGAATCAGTTTTACTCAGCTGTTGCTGAGTCAGTTCTGTGAACTTCTATAACTATCTTGTGTCATATATATATGGTTATTTGTATGCATGTATGTATGTACCAAGAGTTTCTGTAAAACCACAACAAATTCCTTGTGTTTGCGCACACTTAAGTGGTGAATAAAGCTCATTCGGATTCTGATTCTAATAAGAAAGCACCCCTACAACAACTTCTGAAAGTGAACGGTAGTGTTTTACGCGAGCATTACATAAAAATGTCATTTTAACATGAGTTTAGGAACTGAATAATAAAAAGGAAAAATAAAACACTGCGTAGTATTTACTCTTTGAATTCAATATGCACTGATTCTTATTTAAGCTACAAAAGTTATTTAGGTAAGAGCAGTGAGTGATTTTCTCTTTGTCTTTTGTTCATGGCCCCAAATATTGCAAGCTGTAGCGATATGCATATTGCGATATTTCGATAATTTCGATATATTGCACAGCCCTAATTTCCAGCACCCATTACTTCATGATGATCCTTCAGAAATCATTAGAGCCCTGCGCAGGACTGTTTTCTTAAAGGGATAGTTCACCCAAAAATGAAAATGATTTAAGGTGCTTTTGCACCACGTAGTTCTAGGAATTTAGTTCTAGGAACTAGCCAGCAGGGTCGTTCCTAGAGAACCAGTCGGGCAGTTTTCCTGGTTGCATTCGCACCGGCAGCGGGAACTCTGAAGCGGCCGACAGCGACGTCTTTATTCGCGGTGTGGCGTTTACAAACATCAATAACATGTGAATGGAGGACGCCGCGATCGCAGCTGTTTTTGTTGTGTGTCACGGGTTTCATGATAACGGAGATGGAATGTAAATGCACAATTTACATGATTGAAAGAGCGTGAAAATCTGATTAAATCTCCTATGACAACTTGCAGTGTTATCATCAAGGCTGAGAAAAGAACACAACACTGCAGACAGCAGAAATGCCGTTATGGCTGTCTTCCATGTTCGTGGAGTAAATATGTTTACATGGCTTTTTAAAAATGCCGGGTAGCCGGTGTTTCGTATGCGTCTGGCCAATCAGTGTACACTTACGCCACTGGTAGTTCCTATAGAACTAATTTAGAGCCTACTCTGAAGTAGGTGCTAAATTAGTTCCCCCAAATGTAGAACTAAATACGTTCCTAGTTCCAGCGGTGCGAACATGCCAAAAAGCGGGAACTTCCACCAATAGTTCTCGGAATTATGAAAAGGTTCCTCTGGTGCGAAAGCACCTTTACTCACCCTCAAGCCAGTGTATATGACTTTCTTCTTTCAGACGAATACGATCGGAGTTATATTAAAAAATGTCCTGGCTCTTCTAAGCTTTATAATGGCAGTGAATGGGTGTTGAGATTTTGAAGTCCAATAAAGTGCATCCATCCATCATAAAAAGTGCTCCACACAGCTCCGGAGGGTTAATAAAGGCCTTCTGAAGCTAATCAATGCATTTGTTTAAGAATAATATCCATATTTAAAACTCTATAAACCATAATTTCTAGGTGTAGGTGTAGCGTACGTGAGGTTGTCATGGCAACCAGATACATTGCACACGAATTACATCTGCGCTTCTATTTTGCTACACTAAACTTAGCAATAAACACATTGAAAATAAGGCACAATAAACGTGTCTGTCAAAACTATCTCAAAGGAGGCTGAAGTTAAGCAAATCAAAGAGTGAATTACTCATCCACTGTTTTTAAAACCGACATTTGTTGGGCTTGATTCAAGATAACGCACAATGGCAGGCGCACACTTTCTATTTAGTCTTACTGAAAATAGATGATAAACAGTTTATATTCTAAAATCTATTTATAGGTTGTGTTCTGTAACATTTGGATGTAAATGGCCTGCTTAAAAGTAGAACACTGAGCCGCTAAAACGGCTGCATCCTGTGGATCACCTTTATCTGAAGAACGGCATTGAGTTTTTTCGTTATTCATTTTTTTGTTAAAATATCTCTTTTTCTGTTCCGAAGATAACTGCTTTCCGCATTGAAGACATCCAACACAAATCTACGAACATATTCAGGAGAGCATATTCAGGTTTATTGCTAACTAGTGAAACACTCCATTACCAAAAGTTAAAGAGGGTAAACTTTATCATTAAACTGCATTGTGCACGTATGTTTTAAAGGGGTCATATGATGCTGCTAAAAATAACATTATTTTGTGTATTTGGTGTAATGAAATGTGTTTATGCGGTTTAAGTTTAAAAAAACACATTTTCCACATACTGTACATTATTGTTTCTCCTCTATGCCCCGCCTTTCTGAAACGCGTCGATTTTTACCAGTGGTGGAAAGAGTACTGAAAAAATATACTGAAATAAAAGTACCATTACCTTCCAAAAAATGTAGTGCAAAGTCAACAAGTTCCACAAGCAACAACGACTTATCCAAGTGACTGCTGCAGAACGCACACGAGAGAGAGACGAGGCAGTGCAGATCGCACGTCTCATGAGTGGGGAATTTACCGAACGTGGCACTTGCGTGAGTTAACACTGTACACAGGAGGTGGAGTCTTCTGTGCAGTGGTGCTGTTTTGTGCCTCAAAGCGAGCGAAGAAGACGTTCAGCTCGTTCGGCAGGGAGATGGTGCTGTCACAGGTGCGTGGTGGGGGCTTGTAGTCCGTAATGGTCTGTATCCCCTGCCACAGGCTCCGAGTGTCTCTGCTGTCGCTGAAACGATGGGCTATCCACCTGGAGTACTGTCTTTTTGCCTCTTGCAAATACTACAACTTGCCAAAGTTGTAGTATTTCCTCAGCGACCAGCACGGATCAGCTCCAGGCATGACGAAGCAATATCGTCCTCTTTTGGAAGACCAAACAAAGTAGTTTCGCTTTCACAATTAATCACACAGCGCCTTCACGACATGGCGGCGGCGGCAACAACAATACTACAGCGAGAATAAAAGTTACGCCTTCTTTCTTTGCGTGAACATTTGGGCAGCGTTATGCAAATCTTCCCACATCCTGGCGTAGACATGTGGGGGCGTGTTAGAACGAGCCGTTTTAGGTAGGCGTGGCTGACTCTCAACTTTTTTAAAGAATATCTCTTTGGATTTGAGACTTTAGTCTTTGCAACTTTACAGATCTTCTTTATGCACCAAGAGCTTGTAACACTCCAAAGAGAAAGGAAAAATTTAAATAGCATCATATGACCCCTTTAAACACTTCAGCTACCTTATATGTTCTTACTCCACACATATTAAAAGCATGCAGTTTTCTAGTGTATTTAACTTCTCAGGTAATATCAATGGTATGACCTATTTCAGATCATGGGCACCGGAACCATTGTATGGTTCTTTTTTTTTAAGACCAATGATATTGGACCCACTCACTTTTACCGTCTCTTAATTCAGCGCAATTTGTCTTCACTTTTCAGAGCGCCGTCAGTCAAATCCATTCCACTTGAAGAATGCCATAATAAAATAAACTCCATTCCGCGTTTTAGCTACAGCCTTGACTTCCACACTGCTGCTTCCTCAAATCCATGCCACTTGGCTCATTCAGAGTCCATATAAATTCAACCGTACGGTGGCCGAGAGAGCTCAATGCGCTGCAACTTAAGAAAACACATGCAAATAGAAAAAGCACTAGCAAAGTTAGAAAACACATGTGCTGCACATACTCACAACACAACCAAATACACAAACGTGCTGCAAATCCTCACAGCGCAACCAAATAGCATTGCAAGTAGCACAGACCACAACGGAACCCTTACGAAAATTAACCATGGTTTTACTATAAATAAAACAAAAAAAACCCATGGTTACTATAGTTAAACCATGGTAACCACAAATTAACCATGGTTTTACTACATAGTTTAACCGTGGTATTTGTACAACTTTGGTTATACAAATGGTAATCAGTACAAAAACATGGTTACTACACTTTTACTATAATAAAGGTTAATTTTCATTAGGGTTGTTGGGGTCCCCTTGAAACATTTCCCTTACGAAAATTAACCATGGTTTTATTATAGTAAAAGTGTAATTACCATGGTTTTGGCATATTATTGACTACCATTTGTATAACCACAGTTTTACTACTAATATCATGGTTAAAACTATGGTTAGTATAGTAAAACCACGGTTAATTTGTGGTTTAACTAACAAGTTTTTTTTTTTTTATAGTAAAACCATGGTTAATTTTCGTAAAGGAAGTTGTAAGTTACCCGGCTGAGGCTTACATAATGTTTCACAGTTACAGTAATTGTGTATTTCGTTGGCTTATTTAAGTTAACAATATCCAAAAAAGGTAAGGAATCATATGATCAGGATGTTAAAATAAACAAAAATCTCACCTTTCAGAGCAGAGATTGATAAGCATGTCCCAGCCAGGTTCGTCACTTGTGCTTCCCTTAATCTGTGAGTATTTGCAGCGCGTTTCTGTTTATTTATTTTTTTACTTAAAAGTGTGTTTCATTGTGTAGCCTGTGATAAGGACCTTTTATAAAATGAAATGACAGATTATGTAGTTTTATAACA